GAGTGGATATGGATGGTGTGGCCCTACTGGGCTGAGGTGGATGGTTGTTGGTTGTCGGCAGAAGTGGATGGTAGAGGTTCTGGTACTGAAGTCGATGGTTGTATTGGAGTGTACATAAATTCTTTAATGGATCTCTGGGATCTTTTATTCTGCAGTACACTATACAGCTGATGGTAGGCATCATCAGCTTGTCTAGATCCCGTTTCAAAGCACTGCTTCTAGATTTGTCAGGGTCCTCTTCAGTGAAAAAGTTTCTAACTTTATTATTAAAGTAAAATGGAACTGCTCACACAACTGCTGCAATGTTAACTGTTTTTCTTCAGGTTCTTCTTCATCTTCTTCTGTTATCTCCCTCCCTTGTATCTGTGCATCGAGCTTTGCTAACATTTCCTCTGGACCCCTGTCTTCATCATCATCTTCTAAGACCTCATTCACATCTTCAAAACCATCACCTGGTAATCTCCTTGTTGGGAGGGTATTGTGGGAAGTGGGGGATGGCAATAGGTCTCCTGCACTGACACAATGGTGTAACCCACAGACCATCCTGCCCAGCGGGCGACCAGGTGCTCAATATTTTTCCCCCTCACGCAACCATGTTTAAACTAATTTTACGAAGTATTAAACAAAAATGTGCCGCAATTCTTCAATCGTGCTATAACATAAACATGAAAGACAAAATCATGTTAAACGACGGTCTACTGTATTATAGTAGTATGGATTCAGAAAAAATGAGCAATCTTTAAAAGGTCATAAGATGCTTTGATAAGTAATAATAATAGTTACGTCATGCCTATTATGCTTAGTCAAACAAACTGCACGTTTAACAGATATTCAGTTTTTTTTTTATGAACTGACTCTCATTCACATGGATTTACACAATCTAACAGCTTTTAATTTTGAACCAAAACTTATTATGTAAGCTGACCCAAGCATGCTAAATTTACTTAAAAAGTTTATATAACTTAATTCCAACATACCTAAGCACAGCCTAAATTTAGTTACAGCAACAGTATTTAACATCAATATACTAATATCACGATTTCTGGGGTTATAACAAAAATAAACACTTGCTTTTTTGACAAAAGTGGCATTGTCAAGTTTGGCTTTAAAAAGCACAACAGATATGGCATAGCTATTTAAAAGGATAAGAGCAGCAAGTACTGAACCCAGAAAGCTCCACACAAAAAAAAAAAAAAATCTTTTTTCTGAAATTCCTGTAATAGTGACATGAAATCGTAATATCATAATTGCAAACAAACCCACAGTGAGTCTTAAACCCCGGGCCCAAATGCACAAGCCACTGGCCGCTACACAATATTCCTGTTAGAGACTTTATTGTATCAGCGGCTCACGGGCTTAGCACGGGCCTAGCTTTTCCAACTCATTTCCAGGGGCTCTAATCCCACCCATACAGTGTTTTTTTCCCTCCTGTAGTAGTGCTTTAAAATTTTTTTCTATTTTTTTAAAATTTTATAGCAAATTAACCCAGAATTTTGTTCAGATTTAATACAGCCTCCCCTACAAACCGAGGGGGTTCCCTTTCCAAGAGTGGGTTTTGGTAAGCAAATGTCGTTTATGCGGGAGCAACGGGAGGGTGTGGTTTAGTCAACCATTTTTAAATTTTTTTTTTTTTTTTTTTTAGTGTCCCTTTTTGCACCATTTGTGTACTGATTAATAAACAAAAAAGGGGAAAACAGCTTAAATATATTACTTAGGTATATACGGGTTTGGAAAAACTGGTCAAAAGTCTAGGGTTGTAAATGAAACACGTTAAGTGGGAGAGCTGTACCTTGCAAACAGCCCAAATATTTGGTTATGTTTGCTTTTCTTTTTTATTATAATAGTAAAAAATGTTATGCTTTAAATTTAGTCTTTTTTAAATAATGATAACAATGCCTAAGTAAGCATGCATCATTTATTTAGTTATAAGTACGTTACAAATTTTACATCCTAGATTGTTGATAACCCAAACATTTTAAGTATTTAAAGTCAAAATATTATCCGACACAAATGCTAACCAAAGACTGCATGCACTCAACAAACCCCTGAAAGTCCCAAACGTGAATTTGCACACTGCATGAATACCGTGACTCAAAATTCGTGCATACACAAACCATCTTCAAATTTGGGGCGAAAAAGTACAAGCAGCCTACACAAAAAATTTATGTTTCCGTAGGTGTAATCCCAAGAAAATACCCAGTCTGCCATGTGTATTGTGGGAATCACATGTTGCTCTGTCTTTGCTTACCATGAATTGCCTCTGTGCTAAGAACATGACCAGTGCTTGTTAATAGTGTATAGATCTAATAGAACTTTGCAAACAACAAATATAAATGAAACTATATATTTTTAATGTATACAAGTTTTGAAGCACTGTTTTTATATGTAAATAATTGATAATTAAAGTTCTATTCAATATTACAAACATTTAAGAAAAAGTTGAAAAATCACTATTTACATTATTATATATCAAACAGCAGGACCTAATATTGCCATACTGAGTGCCAAAAATGCCAATTTTGCAAATGCATCCCTTCAAGGAAGGTTCCTTGATGTTGGTGAGGGGCTCTTGATTTAGGGAATTGTATCTGTGCTCCAGTTTCCCAAATTAAGCCTGAATGCCTTCCACATCCCCCCCCCCTCTGGCGCTGTATAATCCTCCGGGTTTAGCGCTTCCCCCTTGATTATAATAATAATAATAATTTGCAAATGCATAATTATGTAAGTACTGCTTGCAATTTCAGCTCTGCTATATTACCACCAGAAAAATAATCTAATTTCGGAAGAAATTTTTTTTTTCCAAAATTTAGTTTTTTATTTTTAGTCCTGCAGCACTTCAAGGGTTAACACGTTAATTTAAACCAAAACACGTCTTCACTTCCAATATAGAAGATAATGATGATATATTCTGTGGTGAAACCATTTCCAGATAATGCTTCACAGTATTACCTCAAGTATGTTATTTATTAATTATAATAAATAGTAACCTAACCCACGTGTTTCTATGTATTCTCTCTGTTAAGTCTTCCATCATCTTTGAGCAATTATTGTTCCATTACCCAAAATTAATATTTTGAAGATTATATTTGACAAGCTTCCAAATAAATGCTGCCTCTAACAAGATGCAAAAAAAACATCAGAGTAGATCAAAAGATAATATAAAATTCCATAGCCTGATACAGTAAATTATAATACATCATAGTATATTGATAGTGTCACAATAGAAGAGCATAACTGGACTTGGTTATCCTGCCATAGCATTCAGTCACTGCTTTACAGAATACAGTGGACCCCCGCTTAACGATCACCTCCAAATGCGACCAATTATGTAAGTGTATTTATGTAAGTGCGTTTGTACGTGTATGTTTGGGGGTCTGAAATGGACTAATCTACTTCACAATATTCCTTATGGGAAAAAATTCGGTCAGTACTGGCACCTGAACATACTACTGGAATGAAAAAAGTTCGTTAACCGGGGGTCCACTGTACATCTCTAACTTGTAGGGTGTTAAACATTAGGTACCAATACTCTGGAAAACTCAACAACCTATCAAAATTGAGGTTTGAGCCATGTCTACTGTCCCTCGACAGCAGTATTGCATTTAGTAGCTGCTTTTGACACATTTACAAAAATGCGTTGAGTGAACCACTCAATTCCTGATGACACTCCAAAGCACCATCAGGAGTTTGTAAGGTTGTTCACTGTAGTTTTATAGTCTAATTTGGTCCATCATCTGCAATGCTCTATGATATATGCAAATGCCTAAAAAGGGCCAATTCAAAGCATACATATTCATAACACAATTAAAAATTCACATTATCACATACTGTACAAGGAAAGTTAGAACTGAAGGTACCTTATACACACATTTGTTACTTGGTACTCTCATTCAGCAAAGGAAATATTTCATGCATGCAATGCACACTTCATTCCAACTTATTCCAGATTCAATAAGAAATTGAAAAATATAATAACTACACATACTTTTAATTCCTGCTTTGGTCACATACTATTACTTTCAAAGTCTTCCATGAAACTTGTTGAAAATATGGTGACAATCTCCAAAAGGAAAGCATGTCCTAGACTCTGAAACACCACAGAAAAAGGGAAGTAAAATGCTTGTTAATAGTGGAACTGGGTGTAATTGTGGCTTTTCTTCCAAGTTATCACAGAGTATTATAAAGGGTTGGTATTACCCTTGTGCTGTTCCAGCATCCAGGACAAAAAAAAAAAAAAAAAAAAAAAAGCTGCAAAAATGTGTTGCGACAATTGGCTAACACAGTGGCACGTTTACCAACATTAGTGGCAATTACTTTCCATGACCTAAGATCAGAACTAAATTTTTTATCCAGTTCTGCTTCATTTATTTTAAACTTGTGTCCACACACCTTGGATTTATGTAAAAAATATATAGCCTAATTCACTCAATGTGAGTAAATCAAATAGTGAAAACTCTGTTAAGACTGACTGGCCCAGCAGTGGCACTACCTTTGGAAACACCAAATTTGCCTTTGGCATTAATCTGCTAGTATAAAAGCTAGCAACAAAAGTACCTTCTCCAAGGCTAAGTGTGCACTCGTGTAATTACCCATTTGTAATTAGCAATACGAGTTTGCCAGGGTTGAGCACCAGTTCCTGGCCAAACCTCGTAGCTTTCGATTAACATGCAAATGTACATACAAGCATGCACAGAGATGCAAACTTTTATTGGATTTCTCTTCCCCCTTCTGTCCCCATTTCCTTTTGGAGACAAAAAAAAAAAAAAAAAAAAAATACCCAGACTCAGGAATTATGGTAATACAAAAAAGAGGATAGTGCCCATAGATAATTTGATTTCTTTCAGTGACTAACTACGCTATTTTTTTTTTCTTGAAAATGACTTATAAAAAACAGTAAAGTACAGCCATATCATGGCCTCTTCCCTACTCATACTGCACAAGCAAGTTCTACACTACAAAGGTATCTGATATATAAATCAATGACTAAATCAAAAGAAACAAAACTGAAAACCTTTATTTAACAATAAGAATGCAGCTTAAGAATGATAGAGATAAATCAATGAACATTTTTTGATAGATCAAGAATGAGAAAGCACTCTTATGGATTGTTTTAAAGTGCAGCCTCCAACCCACTGTCTCAAAAGTAAGGTCAAGGCTTAATGTTAAGTATTCAAATTTTGTATAGAGTAGAACCTGGATCACTTTTACCATGAAAGTCACATTATATGAGATTTCAAGCATTGTGCATTTTCATGACCAATACCTTTCATTTTCCTCATTTGGCAATCCTGATTTAAGTGTAAAAATGTACATATATTATTTATTGTAAAATTCAGCTTTATATGCAGTGATTACCCCCCATTCTTATACATGATCAAGGCTCTTGAGTACATTTTATAATTTAATACCAGTAAGACACTTTTCTGTACATGTAAATACTTTTTAAACAAACCCACACTATCAAAAGAGTATAATGATAGCTAACCGAACCATGTTTAAGAACCTGTCAAAATATATAAAGAGCTGATTCAGCAGTGTCATGGGAGAAAAATTATACTGTCATTTTCCCTCAGCACCATGAGAAGAACGGACTTTTTTCTTGGAATGATTGTGTGAATGTGTCGCTGAAGGATCGAAAGCGGGCAGTTGTACCAACTCTCCCTTTTGACCTGTGAAAAGAATAAGAGTTGTTATTTAATTTTATAAGAAATTACTGCATCTATGAAGTACAGTACTGATAAGTTATATTTAATAAAATATTATAATTAAATCACTTCTTTCTTTATCCTCCCCATCTCTCTTTAAAATTAGTAATGTATACAGGAGAAGGGGTTACTGGCCCCTTGCTCTTGTCATCTTAGTCACCTCTTACTACACACATGGCTTACGGAGGAAGAATTCTGTTCCACCTCCCCATGGAGATAAGAGGGAATAATAGGAAGAAAACAGAAGAAAACCCAGAGGGGTGTGTGTGTGTGTGTGTGTGTATATACATATATACATGTATTCTTTTCTTCTTTCAAAGCACAGGCCATATCCCACCGAGGCAAGGTGGCCCAAAAGGAAAAATGAAAGTTTATCCTTTTAAATTTAGTAATATATACAGGAGAAGGGGTTACTAGCCTCTTGCTCCCTGCATTTTAGCTGCCTCTTATGACACACATGGCTTACAGAGGAAGAAGTCTGTTCCACTTCCCCATGGAGATAAGAAGATATAATAGTAAGAAAACAGAAAAAACCAAGAGGGTTTTCTTCTGTTATCTTACTAATTTCTTCTTTCCAAGGCGTTGTTTACAAACGCCTTGGACTTACAACGGATTCTCTGACCAGTATGCATACCTAAATAATGTATATTAGAGCCAATTTCCTCTATTCTGTTTATTACAATATACAGTACACTACTGTATAAACATTTAAAAATATACCAGAAATGTTATAAATGGTACAAAGGTGACAAAACAATATCAAAGATGGTTGACACAAACCCACTACCATTATAGTATGCTCCTCAATTAGCAACGAAATCACTGACCAACGTGGTCTTAAGAATGGAACTCCGTCGTTAAGTGAGGAGAGGCTGTATATACGTATATGCTTGTACATGCATGTGTGGTGTGACCTAAGTGTAAATAGAAGTAGCAAGACATACCTGAAATCTTGCATGTTTATGAACCAGCCCCAATATACTCCTACTAAATAGGTTCTTGGTCCTGGGAATCACCACCCCCACAACCTAATCTCTGACCAAAAATCTTATTGTAAAAGAAATACATTATTACAGGAATAATAAAGGAAGAAATATCTAGGAAAGTAAAGTACATATTGAATGTAAGTAGATATGGTCATTGTCCATATTCTCATAGATATTCTTTCTAAAATATTAATAATGCATTTAGCCTACACCTCAATGAAGTTAAAAGATTATTTAATATTTTATACATCTGTAATTCTAGTATGTACTGAAATATTAGTTACTTACCTTTCAACTATGACAGCAGGCATCTGAACCAACTGCACGGGACTCTTGGCATCTCTAAGGGCTTGGGTCAAGTTTAGAATCTGTCCACGCATTACAGACATTTGGCGTTCAAAAATGTGACGATCAAATCCCTTGTCAGTCTGTTAAAGAGTAAATATCTATGTAAATGTTTCCCTATAAAATAAATACTAAATATGCATAACACCCAAGGTGCTGTTGGAGTGTGAGCCAGGTACCATTTAAGAAGGCATTCCAGGAAACCTGTTAGTCGAACTTCGAATTCTGGATGTGGGAAGTGCAATTCCTGTATTGCATTTGAAGCGAGGTGAGGATGCTGTAGTTCAAGGGGCCATCTGAACTGTGACATCAGCATGCTTCTGGCAAGACAGTGATTGAACGAGTAATAGCGACTATGTTTCCTCTCTTTTTTTGGGGGGTGGGGGGGAATGGGGGGGTCACCCTGCTTTGGTAGGAGGCTGATGCTGTTAAAAAATGCTTAACAATTCCAAGAACCTAACCGTACTGTTCTACCATTATAACTAATTAACCACGTAACATGTGGGCTTCACTATTTTTAGAATATAAAAAACAAAAATATGGAGAAACAGGTTTCCTGTACAGTATGTATAGACAGCTTGTGTTTCCTTCTTTGGGTTATGTGACAAAAGGCTATGGCATTTTTAACGCACATTGGCCCTCTCCCACTAAGATAGGGTGATCTAAAAAGGAAGAAACTTTCACTATCATACATTTAATCACCATCTTACCAGAAGTATGCTGACATCACAACTTGAATGACTCCCCAAAATGCAACACCCCAACCCCTCCTTCAGAATACAGGCACTGTACTTCCCACCTCCTAGACTCGAAGTCTAGCCAACCAGTTTCCCTGAATCCCTTTATAAATGTTACTTTCCTCATAAATAAAATCATAAAAACCACTTGCCTCCACTCACTCCTATTTCTGGACTCACTAGTGCTTCTGAACATCTGTAATATTGGGGGCTTCACAGTACTTATTGTTATGCTTTATCTATTTTTCTGTTACTTTTGCTAATATGACGAATACAGTGGACCCCCGCATAACGATTACCTCCGAATGCGACCAATTATGTTAGTGTATTTATGTAAGTGCGTTTGTATGTGTATGTTTGGGGGTCTGAAATGGACTAATCTACTTCACAATATTCCTTATGGGAATAAATTCGGTCAGTACTGGCACCTGAACATACTTCTGGAGTGAAAAAATATCGTTAACCGGGGGTCCACTGTATTTTATCAAAAAATTATTTTGAATGGGGGATTTACATGTATTAAGTTAAACACAGACATTATGCATGTGTTATTAAATTAGTTTATTCTGATGATTTATAACTCCATTACCAAACTTTTCCTATAATTGGAATTAAATTTTACACTCTACATAACCCAACAGCACCAAAATACCTAAGATTTTTTAAGCAAAATCAGTGGTAACATGAAGACAAATAATCACAAATGGCTTCTTCTAGGATAGTGAGTATATTAAGCCAACAATGTCCATTCTAGTTCCTGGAAATTTCTTCTGACGTAATGTGTAGTATCAGGTCTATAAAGTTTCCCTTAGTGTTCTCATATGTGTTATGTATAAAAGGTACAGCCTCGCTTACTCTAATGTTCTAACATGTAATGTATATGAGGTACACAACTCTCCTAGTGTTCTCTTTTAAATTATTCTTAAAATATGTGTGTGTATCAGCTACACACTGCTTCACTCAGTGTTCTCGCATTATTACGTACACAGCTCTTGAACTAGTGTTCTCACGTGTAATTAAGCACTATCAGGTACACAGCCTCGCCTACCAATTTTCTGAAATTCAAAATAGCTATCTGTGAAGAAACAGTAACAATCTGCAAAAGGCTTACTATTTCAGTCTCACCTGAAACAACTTATACATATCATCACAAAGCTCTTGGACAAAATTCATGTCTGACAGCAATGGAAGGACAAGATCTCGGGTTTCATTACTGAAGGAAATTTTGGCCCAAGGAAGCCAAGCCCAATGGTAAGGGTAGGCTCGCCATGAATCAGGATGCTTGAATGGAAAGGCGAGGCCATTATCAATGGCAGCCACTTTGACTTCAGGAGGTTTCACCAGTGACCAGTCCTGAAAGTTAAGCAAAAAAATATTGAGAGAGAGAACATGCTAATACTGTACAGAAAACTTACAATGTGACTTCATGCAACTGTGTTGCAGCACAGTTGAAAAAATTCAATAAAACATATTATATTATGTGCCATAAAGCATTAAAGAATCATTTAATGCATAAAATATAGGAATGACAAGCTGCAGTTAAGTTCAATGCAAAATCTGAGTACAACACACCTTTATAATTTGGTGGCATGGGTTGTCAGTGGACAACCCATGCCACCAACAGTTGATCAAAAGCTTACTGTATTATACATATTTGCATCGGAACACTTTATAATTTATGACATAATAAAATGGCTTTCAGCCTCTCACCTCACCCTCTCCTTCATCGGCTAGTTCTGGTTTGTCATATTTTATCAACCAGTTGTCATTACCGCGGTCTGTATTTCTGATTATGTAGTCCAAAATAACAAGGCGCTCAAATTGTAGCTGAAACTGTTTGCTGGTTGTTTCTCCTAGAGGCTCGGCTTCAAATCTCCGTAGCCAGTAATCAGCATCTTTGAAGCCCTGAAAACAAAACTCATACTTATGCTCAAACTAATTATGTATGCACGGATGTATACTGTGTACATGTATAATGTGTACATGCATGCACACATGAGCTTGCAGATACAAAGTCCGTACATGTATGTACATACATAGGAAGAAATTTTTTTTTTTTTATTAGCACACTGGCCGATTCCCACCAAGGCAGGGTGGCCCGAAAAAGAAAAACTTTCACCATCATTCACTCCATCACTGTCTTGCCAGAAGGGTGCTTTACACTACAGTTTTTAAATTGCAACATTAACACCCCTCCTTCAGAGTGCAGGCACTGTACTTCCCATCTCCAGGATTCAAGTCCGACCTACCGGTTTCCCTGAATCCCTTCATAAATGTTACTTTGCTCACACTCCAACAGCATGTCAAGTATTAAAAACCATTTTTTCTCCATTCACTCCTATCAAACACGCTCACCGCATGCCCACTGAAGTCCAAGCCCCTCGCACACAAAACCTCCTTTACCCCCTCCCTCCAACCTTTTCCCAGGCCGACCCCTACTCCCCCCTTCCTTCCACTACAGAAATGATACACTCTTGAAGTCATTCTGTTTCGCTCCATTCTCTCTACAGTCCGAACCACCTCAACAAACCTTCCTCAGCCCTCTGGACAACAGTTTTGGTAATCCCGCACCTCCTCCTAACTTCCAAACTACGAATTCTCTGCATTTTAATTTACACCAACATTGCCCTCAGACATGACATCTCCACTGCCCCAGCCTTCTCCTCGCTGCAACATTCATCACCCATGCTTTAACCCCCCATATAAGAGCGTTGTAAAACTATACTCTCATATATTCCCCTCTTTGCCTCCAAGGACAAAGTTCTTTTGTCTCACAGACTCCCAAGTGCACCACTCACCCTTTTCCCCTCATCAATTCTATGATTCACCTCAAACTTTCATAGACCCATCCGCTGACAAAGTCCACTCCCAAATATCTGAATACATTCACCTCCTCCATACTCTCTCCCTCCAATCTGATATCCAATCTTTTATCACCTAATCTTTTTTGTTATCCTCATAACCTTACTCTTTCCTGTATTCACTTTTAATTTTCTTCTTTTGCATACCCTACCAAATTCCCTCCCCCAATCTCTGCAACTTCTCTTTAGAATCTCCCAAGAGCACAGGTGTCATCAGCAAAGAGCAACTGTACAACTCCCACTTTATGTGTGATTCTTTATCTTAACTCCACGCCTCTTGCCAAGACCCTCGCATTTACTTCTCTTACAACCCCATCTATAAATATATTAAACAACCACGGTGACATCACACATCCTTGTCTAAGGCCTACTTTTACTGGGAAATAATCTCCCTCTTTCCTACACACTCTAACTTGAGCCTCACTATCCTCGTAAAAACTCTTCACTGCTTTCAGTAACCTACTTCCTATACCATACACCTGCAACATCTGCCACATTGCCCCCCTATCCACCCTGTCATATGCCTTTTCCAATGGGAAGAAATCATTATAAAATGCATGATTACTAGTAAAAAAAATAAAAGGGAAATACCTGAGTGGTTTCACATTCACACTCAGCTCTAAGAGGCACTAATCTGAAATGCTCTACATAACCAGGGGTTTTCCATGTTCATGATTAAGTGGTTGATTTTGATCATACAATTGACTGGATGGCCTATGAATGTGTAATATAAAACAAATGGATAACTTAATTTGTTGGTATGCACCATGAAGTACTGATATGTCCAAGGCAGTGGAAGCATAAGCTCAGCAGAACAGTCACTCTACAAATCATTCATGCTCACTGAAAAATTTAAATATTTGCAGGTTTTCTTTGGTTTTAATTATTTACACTATTCTCTAACATTAAAACATCTACCTAACTTCAATACTTTTTTAATTATTACAGTCATAGGGAAGCATTGAATCTGTAGAATTCATACAATACCTGAAGATTGGAAGGTGATCAGGTTAGATCCAAAGATAGGGGAGGATAGCTCCAATATCTTGGATCAAAAGCCCTTCAACATCAAGGTACAGTACCTCCTCTCAAGAGTAAACCTTACTGTAACAACACAATTTACCCACCTCCACAAACACTTGGAATGATCCAACTTTTGGGGGAAGTCCAATTCTGTGGAAATGCCGACCTACTTTGGGAAATCTTTCAGAAACCAACTTTTTCGCTCTAGATTTCTCACGATCTATCCTTGTATAATTGAAAGTTTCACTGGCTAATTTCACGACCTGAAATGCACACAGGAAAGTTATATTAATGGTTAAATTCATACTGAAACAAATGATCATTTATAAAAATCCTAAACTTATAAAATTATACATCTGGAATGTTGTCGTGCTCAGATTTGCACACTGCCTACACTTTGTTTTTGTCTTCAGTACCATTCTTAGGGATCCAGTTCAAAAATATTCTAGCGAGCCACTTTGATGTGCCTTGGAAGTACAGCGGAACCTCGGTACTCGAACAGCTCCCTAATCGAACAATTCAATATGTGAACGCTTTGTTCGGTAAAAAAAAGAAAAAAAAAAAATCGCTCAGTAGTTGACCATTTGGTTGGCACTCGACCAAACAAACACGACCTGAGAGAACTTTGCTGCAAACCTTTTCGTGTTTCTTCACACATTTTGGTGTTTTTATATTATTTGTATAAATACGTCACCATGGGGCCTATGAAGATTAGTAATCATGGTCAACCAAAAAGAAAATTGGTTGGGAAAAATTCATTCGGTACTCGAATAGATCGGCATCTGAATAGCCTTCTAGAACAAATTAAGTTCAAGTACCGAGGTTCCAATAGCCTACACAACATGTACAATGGCTTACTAAAATTTTCTGGAAGAATAAGTCACAATACTATGGCTGAAACAATTTACAAATGTCACAATACCATGGCAGAAACAATTTACAAATAACCCAAAATTAGAGATTAATGTTTAAAAAATCAGCCCTAGACCATTATACATAGTCATGACTTAATGGTCTAGGATGGACCAAAATTTTACTGAATAAAAAACACTCATTAAAAATTAATATCTAATGAAGTGTTTCTCAGACAATTTAGTACATGGCCCATCAGTCATTTAAAGTTGACCAGGCTCATGGTCCTCATGGGGGCTGCAACCCACAGAAATGCTGCCCCCCTGTGCATATATACTTATCTAACACAGTGGAACTCGGTGTTCAAACGTACTGGACCTCAAACAAGCCGGAATGTTGAAAAAGTGCTTTAGAGTGACCTCTGACACTGACCTAACTCTCAAGAGACTTTTGGAAAAGTTAGTTTAACATCCTGCAGTGTGCAAGTCTGATAATTAAAGTCAGAGAAATACTGTTTCAGACATCAACCTTATTGCAGTTTGAACACCAATTAGGAACCTATTAAGTTCAAACACCGAGGTTCCACTACAGTTTTAAATAGAGATGGGGATATTGTAGTTTAGAGGGTCATTTGAACTGTGATGTCAGCACACTTCTGGCAAGAGAGGATTTGAGTGAATGATGTTCATGTGAATGTTTTTTTTTTTTTTTTTTTTTTTTTTTTTTTTGAGTCAGTCTACTTTGGTTGGAAACAGCCAATAAGAACAAAGTTTTAAGTTTATTAATGAAAAAAAAAAAACAGCCTCTATTATTCTACAAATGCCAAAACACCTCAGTACAGTATTACTTACCCTAGTTTTAGGAACAACATTGAGCTGTAACTTCTGATCAACAAGCGAGGCTCCAGCTTCTGACAAATATCCCTGGTTGGGAACGAGGCAAGAGCGACCAAAACAACAAGGACAGCATACTTTATGTAGCCACTTTGTCCACTTTGGATTAAGGCGACCATATGGTTCTTCATCTTTAGGCTTAAATACAGCAATGACTTTCTGTAAAGAAAAAATAATTTTCTACATTATCCAGTTTTTGAAACGTACCTGTATTTATGTCTTGCTTTTTAACAAAATGCAAATGACATACATCTGTTATTCATATTCATTACTATAAAAATGATAATGGGAGCCCTTTGATGAACTTTGTATAGAAAGGGGTTTAGTTATAGGTAATACTACATATTTTAAGAAAAAGAGGATAAATAAGTATACAAGATATGATGTAGGGCGAAATGACAGTAGTTTGTTGGATTATGTATTGGTAGATAAAAGACTGTTGAGTAGACTTCAGGATGTACATGTTTATAGAGGGGCCACAGATATATCAGATCACTTTCTAGTTGTAGCTACACTGAGAGTAAAAGGTAGATGGGATACAAGGAGAATAGAAGCATCAGGGAAGAGAGAGGTGAAGGTTTATAAACTAAAAGAGGAGGCAGTTAGGGTAAGATATAAACAGCTATTGGAGGATAGATGGGCTAATGAGAGCATAGGCAATGGGGTCGAAGAGGTATGGGGTAGGTTTAAAAATGTAGTGTTAGAGTGTTCAGCAGAAGTTTGTGGTTACAGGAAAGTGGGCGCTGGAGGGAAGAGGAGCGATTGGTGGAATGATGATGTAAAGAGAGTAGTAAGGGAGAAAAAGTTAGCATATGAGAAGTTTTTATAAAGTAGAAGTGATGCAAGGAGGGAAGAGTATATGGAGAAAAAGAGAGAGGTTAAGAGAGTGGTGAAGCAATGTAAAAAGAGAGCAAATGAGAGAGTGGGTGAGATGTTATCAACAAATTTTGTTGAAAATAAGAAAAAGTTTTGGAGTGAGATTAACAAGTTAAGAAAGCCTAGAGAACAAATGAATTTGTCAGTTAAAAATAGGAGAGGAGAGTTATTAAATGGAGAGTTAGAGGTATTGGGAAGATGGAGGGAATATTTTGAGGAATTGTTAAATGTTGATGAAGATAGGGAAGCTGTGATTTCGTGTATACGGCAAGGAGGAATAACATCTTGTAGGAGTGAGGAAGAGCCAGTTGTGAGTGTGGGGAAGTTCGTGAGGCAGTAGGTAAAATGAAAGGGGGTAAGGCAGCCGGGATTGATGGGATAAAGATAGAAATGCTAAAAGCAGGTGGGGATATAGTTTTGGAGTGGTTGGTGCAATTATTTAATAAATGTATGGAAGAGGGTAAGGTACCTAGGGATTGGCAGAGAGCATGCATAGTTCCTCTGTATAAAGGCAAAGAGGACAAAAGAGAGTGCAAAAATTATAGGGGGATAAGTCTGTTGAGTATACCTGGTAAAGTGTATGGTAGAGTTATTATTGAAAGAATTAAGAGTAAGACAGAGAATAGGATAGCAGATGAACAAGGAGGCTTTAGAAAAGGTAGGGGGTGTATGGACCAGGTGTTTACAGTGAAACATATAAGTGAACAGTATTTAGATAAGGCTAAACAGGTCTTTGTGGCATTTATGGATTTGGAAAAGGCATATGACAGGGTGGATAGGGGGGCAATGTGGCAGATGTTGCAGGTGTATGGTGTAGGAGGTAGGTTACTGAAAGCAGTGAAGAGTTTTTACGAGGATAGTGAGGCTCAAGTTAGAGTATGTAGGAAAGAGGGAAATTATTTCCCAGTAAAAGTAGGCCTTAGACAAGGATGTGTGATGTCACCGTGGTTGTTTAATATATTTATAGACGGGGTTGTAAGAGAAGTAAATGCGAAGGTCTTGGCAAGAGGCATGGAGTTAAAAGATAAAGAATCACACATAAAGTGGGAGTTGTCACAGTTGCTCTTTGCTGATGACACTGTGCTCTTGAGAGATTCTGAAGAGAAGTAGCAGAGATTGGTGGATGAATTTGGTAGGGTGCGCAAAAGAAGAAAATTAAAGGTGAATACAGGAAAGAGCAAGGTTATGAGGATAACAAAAAGATTAGGTGATGAAAGATTGGATATCAGATTGGAGGGAGAGAGTATGGAGGAGGTGAATGTATTCAGATATTTGGGAGTGGACGTGTCAGCGGATGGGTCTATGAAAGATGAGGTGAATCATAGAATTGATGAGGGGGAAAGGGTGAGTGGTGCACTTAGGAGTCTGTGGAGACAAAGAACTTTGTCCTTGGAGGCAAAGAGGGGAATGTATGAGAGTATAGTTTTACCAACGCTCTTATATGGGTGTGAAGCATGGGTGATGAATGTTGCAGCAAGGGAGAAGGCTGGAGGCAGTGGAGATGTCATGTCTGAGGGCAATGTGTGGTGTGAATATAATGCAGAGAATTCGTAGTTTGGAAGTTAAGAGGAGGTGCGGGATTACCAAAACTGTTGTCCAGAGGGCTGAGGAAGGGTTGTTGAGGTGGTTCGGACATGTAGAGAGAATGGAGCGAAACAGAATGACTTCAAGAGTGTATCAGTCTGTAGTGGAAGGAAGGTGGGGTAGGGGTCAGCCTAGGAAAGGTTGGAGGGAGGGGTAAAGGAAGGTTTTGTGTGCGAGGGGCTTGGACTTCCAGCAGGCATGCGTGAGCGTGTTTGATAGGAGTGAATGGAGACAAATGGTTTTTAATACTTGACGTGCTGTTGGAGTGTGAGCAAAGTAACATTTATGAAGGGGTTCAGGGAAACTGGCAGGCCGGACTTGAGTCCTGGAGATGGGAAGTATAGTGCCTGCACTCTGAAGGAGGGGTGTTAACGTTGCAGTTTAAAAACTGTAGTGTAAAGCACCCTTCTGGCAAGACAGTGATGGAGTGAATGATGGTGAAAGTTTTTCTTTTTCGGGCCACCCTGCCTTGGTGGGAATTGGCCAGTATGATAATAATAATAATAAAAAAAAAATTCTCACATTACAGTGGACCCCCGCTTTACGATCAGCTCCCAATGCGACCAATTATGTAAGTGTATTTATATAAGTGCGTTTGTACGTGTATGTTTGGGGGTCTGAAATGGACTATCTAATTCACAATATTCCTTATGGGACCAAATTCGTTCAGTACTGGCACCTGAACATACTTCTGGAATGAAATAATATCATAAACCGGGGGTCCACTGTATTATTACATTCATGGAAAAGGATTAAACCTGTAGGGGGTCATATAGCATTGGGAGAATGGTAATCAGCTTTTGTTCTGGGGTAGGGGAGCTCTAATTTCTTAGATCAAGAGCTCATGCCCCTTAAAAGGACCTTTAACTAATTCTTACTATGTTACATTCTCAGACGTTCAATATAAAGTACATGTTTACACAAATTTATTGTAATTTTACAACTGTAATAGTTTATATACTCACTGCATTGCTATTTTTAACGAAGTAGCTACCACTGGAACCTTGGTATATTCTCTCTGGGTATATTCCACTTTCTATAGACGTTTCTGCTTGTCTAACCAGGTCAGTGAAATGTGGGTCATCTGCAAGAAAACAAGTTGGCTCAGTCTTATGCTGTACAAGCATAAAAACTACTGTAATTCATGGTATTTTAATAACTGTCTGACAATTTTTATTTGTGACTTTCTTAAAACCTTAGAAATTAAAACACAGCACACTAGAACCTTTACATTTTCTACATCTTCAGCCTGCTGGTTTGATATCTCATAAAAAAGAGATCTGTGAAAGTTTCTCTCTCTGACAGTGGGAACCATTTTAGCCATGAGAGTCAATACAAGTTATATCTGTTAATGGTATTGGGAGCATCTCTATCGTGACTGTCATAGACTAGATCTATGACAGTCATAATGGAGGTCTAATACACTGTAAAACAAATATTAAAAGAATAAGAACAACTGGATCCACACCACACTTACAATGTACTTCATCACCCACACCATACTACATCCCATGTACTCCACCCCCTTCCTGTGACATTCACTGTTATGGTGAGGGTACAAGGTGCCTGGACATATGGTATGCTGAAGGTTATTGTGTCCCAGATATGATGAAAGGAATTAATGTAATGTCACTCAAAAAATAAAAAATAAGTTTTTCTTTTTATAGATTTAGTAATTTATACAGAAGGGGTTACTAGCCCCTTGCTCCCAGCACCTTAGTCGCCTCTTACAACACACATGGCTTAAGGACGGAGAATTCTTTTTCACTTCCCCATGGAGAGTTCCTGACTTATCTTAACCAAACAAATGTCAACCTAACACACATGAACATACACAAAATATCAATTCAAGTGGTAAATATAAAAATAAGAGAAAATAACATATACAGTATATAACTAGCTTTAACAAAATTTTTATTATTGAACCCACAGTTATTTTCAAATCTCTGCAATATGAACATGAACTCTCCATACATACAATATATAAAAGCCATATATGTATGCAATATATGAATGGATTTAGCAAAAAATAAAATTTACCAAGAAAACTATTTATCAAAAATAATTTGTTGGAATACACTACAGTGGAACCTCAAAAATCGAACTTAATCCGTTCCAGGAGCTAGTTCTAAATTCGAAAAGTCTGAAATTCGAAGCAATATTTCCCACAAGAAATAATGGAAATACAATTAATCCGTTCCAGAAACCCAAAAATATTCACACAAAAATACATTTTATAGAGATTAATTACAGTTTTACATACATCAAATACTATAGTTTTTAATTATGTATAGTAATACATATAAAATAACATTTTTACTTGCCTTTATTGAAGACTGGTGATGGCATCTGGAAGATAGGGAGGAGGAGAGAGGGAGTTGGGGTTAGTGTTTGGGAGGAGAATCCCCCTCCATGAGGACTTCAGGTAAAGCCCTCTCTGGGGGTTACTTCCCTTCTGTCTTTTAATACCACTAGGACCAGCTTGAGAGTCACTGGACCCCTGTCTCACAAAATAACTGTCCACAGTCCTCTGTTTCTGGCGCCTCTTTAACATTTCCCTAAAATAGGACATGGTTCTGTCACTGAACTTGTCGCAAAGATGGCTTGTTTCAGCTTGCTCAGGGTGGTACTTCTGCACAAACATTTGGACATCATTCCACTTGGCATAAATCTCCTTAATCTTTGAAGAAGGCACCTCATCCACTCCCTATATTAACATCTTTCGCAACATCAGCTTCCTTGATTTGTTCTTTCTTTGACAGGATAGAACCGATGGTCGACTTGTTTTTCCCATACATCCTGGCAAGCTCAACAAGTCTCGCACCACTCTCATACTTCTGTATTATTTCCTTCTTCACATCTATGGTGTTTCTCACTTTCTTTACCACAGGGGTACCACTAGCAAGTTTCTTTGGGCCCATGGCAGCTTATTTCACAGTCCCACAAGCACTAAACACAACGAAATAATCGTAAAATGCGATGAATGAGAGCTCAGGTTAGTGTTCACTCAAGCATAAACAAAGCTAGACTGCTCACGGCGCCTGCGCAGGGACGCGGGCGGCAGACAGGTCCCGTACCCGGAGGTCCGAAAATAGGGGCGCGTTCGATAATAGGGACACAGTTTGTCCAAAAAAATGGTCCTATTTTCGAAACGTTCGATATGTGATACGTTCGATTTTTGAGGTTCCACTGTATTTACATTTGTAGCTGCATACAAGCATTCGTAAGTCATTAATGAGTTCAATTATTATTATTATAATAAAAAAGAAGTGCTAAGCCACAAGGGCTATACAGCATTAATGGGTTCAAGAATGCCCTCGATCATAAGCCAGGGACCTACTGTACCTATACAATGCAGTTAATTCACAAATGTTAGTACTGTAAACATTGCTATACAAGTGTATTCTAATTATTTTTATGCAAAATATGCACATTTAGCCAAAACCAGGAACAATGAGGACATACTGTATTCTTGTCTGCTGTGTTCATCATAGAACTGCTCCTTTTATTGGCTCTGCACTGTTTTGATTTAGTTACGATAAAATTCTATCCCACAATACGTGTATATTTTTTGAGGTAAAATTCTCATCTACAATGTCCATCACCTCTGGATTTATTCCAACACCACAATACAGCAAGAGTTAGAGTCACCATCACAGAAAACCACATCATGTACAGTAAAGTACATACAGGTAACAATACGTTCTGGGATGCCTATGCATAGGAATCATGCTTCGTACATCTGAATTTTCACTAATTACCACCAGTCTTTTTTTATCAGCACCATCACAACTGTACTTCATTATTACATGTACAGAACTATAAATTATAGTTATACACAAAATTAAAGCATAAAATCAAAATACCACTCAGTTGTTTAAGATTGTGAACTTTTATTATATCAAACCGAATCTTATGTCATCAACTTATTCAGTTAGGTAAACAATGGCATGTCGACAAAAACCTAAACGGGAAACCTTTCAATATGATGTTTCAGCTGCGGCTGGACTAAAAGTACAGAAAATAAGAAATAAACCACTTCATATGAGGGATTAAAACTTTAAATCTCGCTGATTATACAGCAGATCTAATTCCTGGGAACAAGGTACCACCTTAGAGGGAACAATATGCACAACTTAGGTTTTTTAACACACTGGCCATCCTCAGCTACCTTGAGGATTATGTCTAGTACAAAGACATGGAAATCTAGTTCAGCAATATTACACAAATAACCCGCACATAAAAGAGAGAAGCTTACGACGACGTTTCGGTCCGACTTGGACCATTTACAAAGTCACACTAACCAGAAGTGGAGCAGGACGGCTATATATAGGCAGGAAGAGGTGGTGGTAGTAGTAGTAGTAGTACAAGAATGGTATATAATACCAACAAGATGAAATCAAGACACATGCGCAACACCCGGGCATCCCCATCGTAGACGTTTCGCCATCCAGCCAGCCACTGGATGGTGAAGCGTCCACAACAAAGACACCCAGACACCGCACATGTGTCTTAATTTTATCAGTAGTAGTAGTAGTAGTAGTAGAAGAGGTAGTAGTAGTGGTAGTGGTAGAAGTGGGGAATAAGGAGGACGAGCCAGTCAAATACAAAGGAAGGGGAGCACTGCAAGAGAGCTAGGTGCCCACAGAGGGAGAGCAAGTGCACAGAGGTGGGTGGAAGGGGAAGTGGTGAAATAAATGAAGAAGGAACAGAAACACGAGACAGAAGAGAGAAAGACAACCCAGAGGAGAAAAAGGAAAGAGGAAAGGGAAGAGTGGAATCCTCTCTAATACACAACTTTCCTTGTATGAATCTTAGCCCTGGCTTCGTCTCTGTAGATGCCTTCCTCTCCCACTACATTGTAAAATGCTCCAAACTTCAGAACACCCGTGGCTTAACCTGACTCCTCATTTTTTCTTTTTCTTTTTCTTCTTCTCCCTCTTCCCCTTTCCTCTTTCCTTTTTCTCCTCTGGGTTGTCTTTCTCTCTTCTGTCTTGTGTTTCTGTTCCTTTTTCATTTATTTCACCACTTCCCCTTCCACCCACCTCTGTGCGCTTGCTCTCCCTCTGTGGGCACCTAGCTCTCTTGCAGTGCTCCCCTTCCTTTGTATTTGACTGGCTCATCCTCCTTATTCCCCACTTCTACCACTACCACTACTACTACCTCTTCTACTACTACTACTACTGATAAAATTAAGACACATGTGCGGCGTCTGGGTGTCTTTGTTGTGGACGTTTCGCCATCCAGTGGCTGGCTGGATGGCGAAACATCTACGATAGGGATGCCCGGGTGTTGCGCATGTGTCTTGATTTCATCTTGTCGGTATTATATACCATTCTTGTACTACTACTACTACTACCACCACCACCTCTTCCTGCCTAATATAGCCGTCCTACTCCACTTCTGGTTAGTGTGACTTTGTAAATGGTCCAAGTCGGACCGAAACGTTGTCGTAAGCTTCTCTCTTTTATGTACGGGTTATTTGTGTATCGTTCCAGTCACGGTATTGTGCCTTTTTTGTTATTCAGCAATATTGTTTTAAGTTAAGTACACCTTTTTAATGTTACGTAAGCCATAGCAACAATTTCTTGGATCAAGAGCCTTTCACTAGCACCATGGCACCTCTCTGAAGGGAAGAGAAGCTACAACCCAATAACCCTACATACATTCATTAATTAACATTAACTTATAGGTGTATACACCACCTGTCAAATGGGAGGTAATTAGCTTTGATCCAAGGAAGGGGAAGATGCCTCCAATTCCTTACTTCAACAGTCCTTCCCCAAGTGAACAATGCCAGATCAGTATATTTCAGAAGTGCTAAACCTGTAAATTAATTAGCACTTCGTTACTTACTTACTTACATAAATAAGCGTACTTACTAAGCACAAGGAAGTGTTAACCCAGTGTGGCCATGCAACACAATGGAAATAAGTCAACTTTGACTTTTCTAGGTTATTCTGGTGGGTAATTTACACGTTCCTATGTATGAAAATTTGTGTCCTGTGGCCTGGTAGGCAACGCTCTAACCTCATAAACCGAGTGTTACGGTGCAATCCCCCACTGTGTGGAAACATTGGTCGT